ATCACACGGTTTTTCTCACATCACAGAGATGTGCAAACAGAAGGGTTGACACTTGGGAGTGGACAGATAAAAGTAATGAGAGGTGACTATGCTCGGAGTCCATGGCATTGGTGGATAAGAATGTCATAATGAAATCCATCACTTTGTGCAATGACTGACTGTATGCTAGTCTAGTTGTTCTGGTGTTTTTTTTTTTTTGATTGTTTGTTTTGTTTTTTATCTATGGATGACAAGAGTGGTTTGCAGGTGTGTAGTCAGGAGTCAGCTCCTGGGTGGGAAAACTGGTCCTCGGGAGGTGAAGCCCCCTCTGCAAGGGCCAGCCCAGATATAGGCTGTTGTCTCCAGTCCTCTACTGCCTCGTGGCCCAGCTCCCTTTCCCATTTCAGTCGCTTGCTGAGTACCCAGAAATCCTCTGTATGTATTGTAAACTGAGCCAAAAAGAGGGAATCAGAAATTGCTCTCTTTTGAGTATTTTGAAGGATGGTGAAACCTTGTTAGGAATGTTGCTCCAGGGACTGAGAAAACACCATATGTGGGAATGCATGGCTGAGCGAGGAGAATAGCGTGCCGCGCGCTGGAGATGGGCACTAGGGAGAGGGTAGGAAGGGGGTTTTACTGAGGTCTTTAACAGGTCTTTTTCTAATTATAGCCAAGAAGAGCCTGGGGACTATGGCCTGCTTCAGAGCCAAGGCCTCTATTTTCTTTGGGAAAAGAAGGCAGAGTTGATTGGCTTCCAATCCAGGCTTGGCAGAAGCCCACGCAAGATTTCAAGCCAGTAAGCAGTGCCTTGGGTAGGACTTGATTGGTGTCGGTTCCCATTCAGTCAGCAGATCCTGAAGCTCTGCAGCGATGTTGAGCTCCAGGCTGGGCTTGTAGGATTAAATAGACAGGCTTCCCCATGGTGGAGGAAGAGACCTACCGCTAATAACAGCCGTAGACGGTTGCTGAAGCTGAACCTTTTCAGATGACTGTGAGCATTCCATAAGGGAAAGCAAACTCACTGTTGTGCCCGGCATATCTGACACCGCTCTCCTGTTTCCGTTCCCCATGCTGGGGAAATAATCCCCTAGGGAAACTCCTACCCCAAGAGACACAGTAGGAAGTGAAGGAGGTCTGACCGAAAAAGGGCCAGGGATCACACTTCGCCTCTCCTCGTGGCCAGCAGAATCACAAACCTCACTTCCTACTTCTTGCACTTGCTTCTTTAATCTCCTGTCCCTGTGTATCCAATTCATGGGGTTCCTTGTCTCCCACAACCAGCATGGCTGGCCAGAGCTCCAAGCATGTGTAAGCAGTGACAATTGGGAGTGACCATGCTGGTACAGACGGCTGGGAGCCAGATGTAGAAAGAGAAATTTTCCAGACGTTTGGTCTTCTATATGTACATGCAACAGAGACAGGCATGCAGCCCACCTGTTATTATAGACAACTCAAGTTCGTGTTCCACTTCTGTTTCTAGTACACTCTGTGTGTGCCTGATCGTGCCCTTCCTGTTACGTGATTATGAAAAAGCCTTGTCGAGCTTGAGGAAGAATCGGGTGTCCTCTAACCCCTGATGCTACCTAGCAGTCCATCAGGCCTCAGTATCTAGGAGTCTCTGCAACCCGGAATGTGTTGCTTTGGAAAATTCTTGCCTCCGTATTCTTGAGATTGCTTTTTCCAAAAACGAAGAAAGGTAAGAAGGAAGGAAAGGAGGGAGAAAGGAAGGAAGAAAGAGAAGGATAAAAGGAGATTTCCAAAATGGAGTCCAGAGGATGCCTGCTGGGAGTTGAGCAAGTCTTGCAGACAGTTTAGAAACACTTCCTGGCCTCATATGGCCTACTCTCAGGACTCCCTCCTGGGTGGATTGATGATAAGGAACGGTGTGGAGGAGGGGCTGGATGAGGTCCACGCTACCTTTCATGGGCCTGTGAAGGATGCTAGACCTACTAGAGTACCATTTGGAGGACAGACTGACAGAACGGAAAGGAAGCGTGTTGCTGTTGCGGAAGGCAGTTGGAGAGCCTCAGAGAAAGGCCAGCTTAGGAAGCCAGCGTCCAGGAGCAGGAACAGCTTTAATGTAAGTGGTCATGAAAATGGCGAGGATGGAAGCCTTGCCCGTAAGTCACAAAGCTTGCAGAGAAACAGTGAATCGGGTTAGAGTGGGGGGGGGGGGCGTGAGAGCAGTACAACTGATGGGAAACAGGAACAGGGGGCAAAGACACCGCCCCACCTCCTCTTTCTCATAGCACTGTGTACAGTACTAGAGGCTGTACCTGGAATTTCTCTCAAAGGCCCAGATATCCAAGGTTTGGTTCTGGCTCCGCAGGTACCGAGAACTTGCAAGAGGCCTTCATAGTGCTGGAGACATGTCCTGGGATAGGGCTCTCTCCTCCTCCCCTCCTTCGTTTTTCTTTTGCTCCAGGCCATGGTTGATTTTTTTTTTTCACTTAAGCACACTCTTTTTGACTGTGTCACCAGAACCAAAGCACAAGGCCAATTCATCACAAACTGAAGGCTCGAAAGCCGTGAGCCAACAAACCTCTCCTTTTCTTCATATATTGATCCTCTTCAGTATTTGGTATAGTAGTTGACTAGCAAATCAGCAAAGGCACAAGGTCACATGTGCTTTCGTTCTTAAAAGTTGCTTTCATTTTTATTTATATGTGCATGCATGGGTGTGTGACACATGCGTGCTGGCGTCCGTGGAAGTCAACAGAGGATGTTAGCTCCCCTAGAATTATAGTTACCTGCAGTTGTGAACCACCCAGCATGGGAGCTGGTCCGGAACTTAGGTCCTCTAGGAGAACAGCAAGCATTTTTACCCCCAGAGCCAGTTTTCCAGCCCTCAATAGAGCTTTTGTTGTTGTTTTGTTTCGTTTTGTTTTGTTTTTGTTTTTGTTTTCCAGACAGGGTTTCTCTGTAGCTTTGGAGCCTGTCCTGGAACTAGCTCTTGTAGACCAGGCTGACCTCGAACTCAGAGATCCACCTGCCTCTGCTTCCCAAGTGCTGGGATTAAAGGCATGCGCCATCACTGCTCTGCTCAATAGGGCTTTTCTAGCAGTAGCTTTGGCTTCAAAATTCATGCTACCATCCCAAAGACTTACTTCTTAATCCAAGTCCATCATACCATCCAATACCCAGCTTGCCAAGTCATTCTCATAATTACCTTGCCCACCTCGGTGTGGCCTTTTACTTTACATGAGAGGCCCTGCACAAACAGATATTACCCCTGATGTGCTGCCCTGTGAGCGAGGATGCTCATGTGTCCAGGACAACCTGGTAAACTGTCCTTAGATAGACTCCCAGTTTCACATAATCTTCTTGCGGCTTTATGGGGGCGAGGGTGGAAGCTGCGCATGCTGTTTATCTTGTGGTCGTGAAGTCTCATTTCGTTAGGTTTGCAAGATTAACGGAAATGTCCCTTTTCTGCAGAGCGGGAGGGAGATGAATTCCCCTGTGGGAACCATTTTCCTGGGACAACACAGTTCCTGGACTGGTGTCTAGGGCAGGCAGCCATGTTAGAATCCTTCCTTGGCTTTTCCTTTGAAGGAATCAGTCATCCTAAGAGTGGTTCCCAGGGGAGGAAGATGGTCCCCTTATTCACAGAGGCAGGCCAGGAACCAGCGGGTAGACGGTCCGGTTAATGGCTGGACCTTTGTCATCCTTTGGGGATGAGAGAAGAGATGAGGAAGTAGCTGTTTGGTAATTCTGGAGACAGGCTCCTCAATGAAGATTCATAATCGAAACTTCTTTTCCACAGCTTGTGCCAACCTTGTTTGTTCCTTTTGTTTTCCCCCTGGATTCTGTAAGATCTTTCTGAAAATACCAACACTGAACCAAGGGAAAGGATTTTATTTTCCATGTGAAGACAGAACTCTGAAGAGAAAACACCCATGGGGCCACTGGGGTGGCAGCAGCGGTGATTAAAAAGTGGATGCTCTGGGTGTGGGGTGAGGGGACTGCCAGGTCATGGTCACCAGCTCATCTGGCTTTCCACCTGAGAGTCTCCCCCTTGGGCTAACCTCCCGGAAACATGGGCTTGGCCCTAGCGCAGGAGAGGTGTGTGAGGAAGATCTCCAGATCGCTCTGCAATTCCACAAGGACTCTCCAGGAGCCCTGTGCTGAGGTTCTGTTATGGCAACAGAAGAGAGCAGTGGGTTAAAGAACCATTTCAGGAGGGAGGTGGTGGAATCAGATGGAGGACTACAAAAAGAAGTAGAAAAATAGAAACTAAAAATCCTTAGGAGGAAAAAAAGGAACTAAAATTAACCCTTGCTTCTCAGAGGAGGTAGAGCCATTCATTTGAGCTTTGTTTTGCTGGGTCTCTCTTTTCGGAAAGGGGTGCTTCACAGAGCTGTGGGTTTTAGGGTTGGTGGATAAGAGGGGTGCGCTGGTGACGCAAGGCCTTCTGGGAGCTAACAGAGCACCTTGGCACTTAGGCCCTCTCAGCAGGTGCCCGGTGGCCTTGCGTTTGTTTCCAAGGACAGGAGGAGCCAGGAATGAGCCTCTCTCTGATGCCACACTATAAAAACAGCAGACCCGATGGCCAGCCTCAGTGTGTCCTCCTTGAAGGCCCTACAGGCTAGAATTGGACCGATAGCACCACATGTCTTGAGGAAATTACAAGGCCCTGAACTGAGAAAGCAGTACACGGATGCAGTCCTCAGCGCGGCCTCGGTAGGGTGGGCCATGTATCTTTCCCAAGCTCAAGGGACTTGTCAGGATGTCACCGGTGCACAGCAGGAGGCTGGGGAGCAGTGCAGACATCTGATGTAGAAACAACTGGTGCTGTCAGTCTAGAAAGCAAGCCATCCAGAGCCCGGTGGTGCATTCCCCAGGATTTCTCAGGGGCTGGGGGAGGAAGCTGCCCCTTCTAAATAGCAGGAAGGAGCTGGGCTGCTTCCTTAAATGGTGGTGCCCTCTCATTTACTCTCAGAGATGTCAGCCTCGGGCAGCTGACACCGGAAAGACCCGGACTCTCGCAGCCAGCCCTTAACACCTGTGTTTCCTCTTTGCAGATCTTACAGGTGAACAAGGTGATGTCCATCTTGTTTTATGTGATATTTCTCGCTTATCTCCGTGGCATCCAAGGTAACAACATGGATCAAAGGAGTTTGCCAGAAGACTCGCTCAATTCCCTCATTATAAAACTGATCCAGGCGGATATTTTGAAAAACAAGCTCTCTAAGCAAATGGTGGATGTTAAGGAAAATTACCAGAGCACCCTGCCCAAAGCAGAAGCCCCCAGAGAACCGGAGCAGGCAGAATCCACCAGGTCAGAATTCCAGCCCATGATCGCAACAGACACAGAACTACTACGGCAACAGAGACGCTACAATTCGCCCCGGGTCCTGCTCAGTGACAGCACCCCTTTGGAGCCCCCTCCCTTGTATCTCATGGAGGATTATGTGGGCAACCCGGTGGTAGCCAACAGAACGTCCTCAAGGCGGAAACGGTACGCGGAGCATAAGAGTCACCGAGGGGAGTACTCGGTGTGTGACAGTGAGAGTCTGTGGGTGACCGACAAGTCCTCAGCCATTGACATTCGGGGACACCAGGTCACAGTGCTGGGGGAGATCAAGACCGGCAACTCCCCCGTCAAACAATATTTTTATGAAACGAGATGTAAAGAAGCCAGGCCAGTTAAAAACGGTTGCAGGGGAATTGATGACAAACACTGGAACTCTCAGTGCAAAACGTCCCAGACCTATGTCCGAGCACTGACCTCAGAAAACAACAAACTCGTAGGCTGGCGCTGGATACGAATAGACACTTCCTGTGTGTGTGCCTTGTCAAGAAAAATTGGAAGAACATGAATTGGCATCTGTCCCCACATATAAATTATTACTTTAAATTATATGATATGCATGTAGCATATAAATGTTTATATTGTTTTTATATATTATAAGTTGACCTTTATTTATTAAACTTCGGCAACCCTTACAGTATATAAGCTTTTTTCTCAATAAAATTCGTGTGCTTGCCTTCCCTCAGGCCTCTCCCATCTGTTAGCCTTGTTCTGTGACCGGGCTCTTGGGAATCCTTCTGTAAAAACCTGTGTACACCAGTATTTTGCCTTCAGTATTGTCAAGGCCATGACTGTGGTTTTAGTAAACTTCTTAAAATCAGACGATGTCAGAGTTGTGTATAAACAGAGTTCTATCCCCTTCTGGTGTGTTCCACGTTGGATTAATGAATTAAAAGAACCGCTAAGGCCTCCGTTAAAACGGTACCTTGTAACCCGCGGCTTGGCATTCTCCTCTGGACAGCTAGCTCACGATCAGGTCCTCACTTACTCTTCCCAGCTATGGGGCCTGCCAATTAGAGCTGTGGTCTGCGCCAATAATAACGAACCTGGCACTTTTACTTTTCAGCACATTTGTTGTTTGGGGATTGTGTAAGGGTTGGAATATTTTTTTTTCTTTTCGTTTGGCTTTGGTTTTGTTTTTGCTTTTGGTAAGTGGTTTTTATCCTTTTAGACAGGGAGGAAAAAATTGCCTAACTATTCCTAACAGCTTTTATGTGCAGTGTGTGTGTGTGTGTGTGTGTGTGTGTGTGTGTGTGTGGTGGGGTTCAAACTGTAACAGAAAAATTATAGATCTACCCAGGAGCAAACTGAAATGGCTCATGAATAATCCATATACAGAAGATAAATGTACTCATTAAAGATTCTCTTGGCCCAGGGACTTTGCCATGAGCAGTTGTAAATGGGTAGGCTTGGGAGAAAGAGCTGGTTCAAACTCCAGCCCCTCCCCTATGACCTTGCAAAGGGTTTGAAGACTACCAGAGCCTGGGTTTCCTGGGGATGCAGTCATTCTGAGATTCCCAGGATCGCTGACACGTCAGTCAAGTCCCCATTATAAACTTAGTAGCCAGAGGTAGGCCTCTGAGAGTGTCGTGGCCTTGTCCATTGCTTCTTTCTTTCCAGGGTATTGCGGTCAACCCTGTATCACTGTTAATTGATGCACCCAGGAGACGCAAACGGTCCACACGCAAAGGACTTTCTTGGTGCCTGCTGAGTCTTGGCAAGGGATCACTGTAGTGATAACCTCTGGTCCTTGTGAGAATAGGGGCATTAGTCAGGCCTCGCCCCAAAGAGTTTCTTGATGTCCTGTTCCCACGGTGACATAGTTCATCCTGTTGGGGCTGCAGCATAAGTCCTCCGGAGGTACAGAGGTCTACCGCTCCAGCTCAGAAGCTCCTCTGACAGCCCTAAAGCCTGCTGCGTGCCTGCTCTGACCTGGGTTGCTCTGCCTCAGTTTAAGGCCTATGTGTGCTCTCTCTCCAAGGCCTCTAACATAAACAGAGAGAAGACGTGTCCTCCGTATGACATGAGCGTTTGAAACACAGGCAGCAAATAACAACTGTGGTTCAAAACATCATCTTATATACAATTCTGGGTCCTAAAGTGTGGATAGAAAACAAGAAAGCTACTATGTCTCTGCAATGCACTGGGCACTTTTAAAGACAGTTGATATTATTTGTCAAAAAAAAGAGGAAGGGAGGGAAGGAAAGAGGGATGGAGGGAGGAAGGAAACTTAAGGGTGGTACTGTCATCTCAGGGTGAGGAATAAGGAAGGGTGATTTTGCAGGAAATTGGCAGAGTAGAGAGTTAGGTTCACGTATTGGTGATGACAGCAGATGCCCGCTGTCTCCCTTCCCTCCTGTCTCTCTTCTGGTGGGACAGCGTTGTGTTTCCATGGCTGCTGCAGTGCTGGGGAGGAGAGGCACCGTTCTCTTGTGGAGACCCGCTGTGGCCTGTGTTTTGGTTCTGCCAGTGTTCAGGACAGGGAGACCAGCAGATAGTCAAGTGGGGTCTGATGGACGACGGCAGAGCTCGGTTCTAGGATCTCCTCATTGTGGGGACCCCATGAGCATTTCTAAGGGAAACGTGGCACCCCCCGCTGCTGGAGGCCACCACACTGAAGATTGTAAAGAGCTGAGGTCTGATGTGAGTGACAGTGGTGACAGGGAGAGGGTGGGCACAGAAACTCTCGTTCTGGGATTTTAGGGGAGTTCCATGGCACGGAATATTCATTAAGGCTTATCCATCACCTACGGAAGGGGAGGGGACCTTAGGGGAGCACCTGCTAATTTCCCTTTTCTCGGGTCTCTCACCAAGCCTCCTTCTCCATGGACACATGGGGGGGGTATTGCCAACCCTCCACTCAGTGGAGCAATATTCTGTTAGCCGTTATGTCTGATTCCTTTCGGAAGGTATGTATTACACTCTTCCTCCACCTCTAATGCTCTTTCCAGGATATTGTAGTTACCCTGGGTTTGGAATTTGTCATATTACTCTGCTTGTTGCTCCCTTTCTCTGTGCTGGTGCCTGTGTGTCTATGTGCCCATCATTGTTGATTTAGTCGGCATGAATGCTCTCCACAGAGGCTGGGGAGACCATTTGCATGGGTGTTTACTGTTGCTGACATCTCTGGACATGTGTCCAAGAATAAAGCCTCTGTTCACAGATCTCCAGAGACTGATGCAACTTCACCAGGAGACTTATCTCCGGGCCTCAAGCTCTGGCGGCCCTGGGTATGCAAAGCCAGTGCTGAGGGCTGCTGAGGGCCTGCACTTAGGGCCTGCTCCGCTTCCCAAGCTCCAGCTTTGTCCAGGGATATCATGGCTAATGCCTCAACCAGAGTGCTGTGAAACCCAGGAAGAGCCTTTTCACAGCAACAGCCCCTCACTCTGCAACCCTGGCTCCTGGACTGAGGTCTGAATTCTCTGCAGTCTCATATGTCTGAAAACTCCTGCATCTGGAAGCTTCTTCCTCAAGATCCCTATTCTCACTTCTCAAGTTACGTTCTCATAACTTTCTCAAGCGACAGTGGCTAGTGGCCTACTTGAGGTACACACATGTTCCCCAACACCTTGAAATGCAAATACTTCCGTCCTGACTTAAGTCCCTAGGTTTTGGTTCTGGATGGAGGCCGATCCAGCCTTGAAGAGCAGAACGCTGGTATAGATCGGAGCACTCTGAAGGACTACAAGTTTATTTGTGTCAATGCTCAACCTTGTGGGATCACAGCGTATAGATGGGGCTGATGACCCTCTACAGATGCTGTGCTGGAACCCCAAATAGGGAGGGGCAAAGAGGCAGAGAAGAAGTTTTCCAAGGTTACCAAATGTCCTTTCTTTTAAAAAAAAATGTTATTTGTATGGGTGTTTTGCCTGCATGTATGACTGTGTCCCACACACATGCCTGGTGCCGGGCCAGGAGAAGGGATTAGATCCTTGGGAACTGGAGTTACAGAAAGTTGTGGGTCACTAAGTGGGTGCTAAGAATCCAGGACCCGTGGAAGAGTGACCAGGGCTCTGATCTGCTGAGTCATCTCTCCGGCCTCACCAAAGGCCCTTTCTAGAAGGAACTGCTTACCACTGCTGAGTTTGGCTGGGTTGAACTGTTGTGTGGGTCACTGACGTTTCGGGTTAAATTACAGAATGTTCTTCAGCAGTAACACATTAAAGTTTATTGGCAAGTTGTGAAACACAGCCTAATGAATTAGACAACTATTCACATAGAATGGATGAGTAAGTAGGTATGCATATCTCATGGGTACCTGCACACTTCTCTCTCTCTATTTCTCTCTCTCTCTCTCTCTCTCTCTCTCTCTCTCGTGTGTGTGTATGCTTGTGTGTAGGCATATGTGTGTGTAGCTATTTTGATATTCTAACCATTGATGTATTGTATGTTTAAAAGGAATTAATGCTTGAAACAGAATGTTATGGAACATTTAATAACCTTGAGGAATTAATTTAACCTTGAGGAAACTGAGCTTCCAGCCAGCTGGGGAACTTAAGAAAGAGACAAGAAAGCATAGATGAGGTAAACATTTGACAAACAGGAAAAATAACAGGCCGAGACTAGGGGTTCTCCTAGGAGTCGTGACAGAAGGCTCTGGAACTGTGGCTCTTCCAATCTAGAAAGTGACAGAAGATGGTACTGGGGGCTGCAGATGAAAACTAAGGTGGAACCAAAGTCAAGGGGGAAGCACTAAGAATGATGTCATTTCCTGCTGCTTTCTTCCCGCTAGGTACTGAGCGTGAATCTCGATGGATTCTCAAGCCATCCCTGGTGTTCCGGCCTCAGTGTACAGTTGAGGACATTCCTTGACAAAAGCAGCCTTCCTGAGGTCACACAGCCAATCAGAGGGAAAGGCCAGATAGGAACCCAAGGAGTCTCCAGGGCTTCAAAGCGTAGTGCTAAGTGCCTGAGGGGCCCTGGCCTCTGAATTTCAGAGGGGTCACGTAGGGGTGTGCACTTGGCACAGTCGAGGAGGTGACGGGGTCAATACTTCTGGGTTCCAAAGACTGTGTGGAATGGCAGCCTCCGTAGCAGGCTCCCAGCCACAGGGGTTCTTAGTGTGGTGGAAGGAAAACAAGTGGGGCTCTCTTACCAGACCCCCTGATTAGGGGCAAAGTGGCTGTTGCTTCCATCTGAAGTAAAAAGACTGGCAGCCTACAGTAGCCATTTAGGTATTTTGCAAGGAGATAGAAGGCAGGAATTTCTATTTAGACACAAACTTTGAGATCCAGTAATCCATGCTCCCTTATAAGGCAGAAATCTATTTTTATTCATTTGATACTTAAGAAAAAAATGGCATGCCTACTAGGTAGTGGGCACTCTGCCCAGCTGGATGCTCTGTGCTCACAGAGGTATCGTCTCCCCTGGAAGAGGAGCGAGTAGAAGGGATGGGGCCTCAGGGAAGGCAGTGTGGAGTCGCCTTGACAATTCCCACGCCTCATGATGAGTATGCCTCCGCCAGCAGCTTGCTCTATTTTAAAACAGCCGTGACTATCTGATAGAAAGTCTCTCCTGCCACCGAAGCCAAATCGAGAGACAAAAATAGTTGCAGCTAGGTTGTCAACAGACCGGCTGCAGGCATCCAGAGTGTGGGCAGCTAGATATTGCTCAGGACACTCAGGGGAGGCTCCGTTGAGACATGTGACCTCCGAGGTGGCTCTTAAGGGATGGGTTGGAGTTCCTTGGAGGAAAGAGCAGGAGAAGGACACAGCACACAATGGTGTGGATGGGCAAGAATCTAACATACGTAGGGAGAACGGAAAGGTTTGATGTTACAATGTCAGGGCTCTGGGAAGAGGGAGAGGG